CTCCAGAAGAGGCCAAGCCAGGCCTGTGGGCTGGCCTGGGAGGCTGGAAGCTGGGGTGTCCCCAGCAGCCAACCCACTTTGCCGAGGCCCTCCCCTAACCCGCAGTGCAGCCGCCAACTGAACTCACTCCTGACCCCCGGGTTGACACAAGCAGAGAATGAGGGGTGGGCCTGAGGTCACAGGCCAAGGCAGGCCCCAAGGCTGGCTGAAACGCCAGCCACTCTTGCTGCCCTGGTGTGCCAGGCCACCAATCTGCCCTCCCTGGGCCTCAGCTGTCCCACCTATAAAATGGGACAATGAGGGAACCTACCTCTTAGGCTTTTGTGAAGATTACACCAGCTAAGGTACCAGGTGCCAGGCAGGGCTCAGGGTGGGAAGGTGAGCCTGGAAGGCCTTCAGGAGGAGGTGATGTCCATCCAAACTGATTCTGGACGGCGCTCCCTGGACAGAACCCTCCTATCCTTAGGAAGCCAAATATCCAAACACCTGTGAGTTCAGTGGGGCCAAAGCACAGGGCGCAGGTGGGGCGGGTGGCGAGAGGTGGCGCTGGAGAGGTGCGTGGGGGACTCGCAGGGGTGTGTCCCCATGCCAGGGTGTCTTACCCTCTTCCCCCAGGAGTGTCCTCAACCCCCTCCCCCACCCCACGCACCCCAGGGTGCTGCCGCTGGGGGGGGGGCAGGGCTGGGGCCTGTGTCCCCACGCGCAGTCCCCAACTCCTCCGCCTCTCCGCAGGCCCCGGGTGCCAGGCCTTGTGGGCGGACGGGGACCCGCCCTCGGTGACCGTGAGCCTGGGCGAAACGGTCCGCCTGCAGTGCCTGCACAACCGCAGCAGGCCCAACACCACCTTCAACGTCACCTGGTGGCGCGTCCTCCAAGGCAACACCACCTGGCCCGACATATTCTGGAGCAATAGCCAAGAGCCCCACGGTGAGCTGACCATCCACACAGTGAACAAGAACCACACAGGCATGTTCAGGTGCCAGGTGGAGGAGAAAGACCTCTTCACCCAGAAAGTCCTCAGCTTCCAGCAGTCCTGCGGCACCTATCTCCGCGTGCGCGGTGAGTGCCGGCCCCGGGCACCCAGGGCACCCATCGTGGGCATCCTCGCTCCGGGCTCATGCACACTGTGGGGGCGGGGGGGGGCAGCTTCAAGGGGTCTGGGCCTTGCCGGGGGCAGGGCTGGGTAGCCAGGAGGGCGGGAGGCACCTGTGCTCTGAGCGGCACCCCCTCCTCACAGAGCGGCTCCCCAGACCCTTCCTGGACATGGGAGAGGCCACCAAGAACAACATCATCACAGCCGAGGGCATCATCCTGCTCTTCTGCGCCGTGGTGCCTGGGACCCTGCTGCTGTTCAGGGTGAGCCCCTGGGGACCTGGGCCCTCCGAGGCTGAGGTCCCCTCCTAAGATGGGAGAGTGACAGCACCCTCACAGGGCTGAGGGGCACATGAATTCATACCATGACAGGATTTTAAAAGGTGCGCGGCTCAGAAGGGCATCCTTGCTCAGTCTCCCCTCAGGACTGTCCTCCCTCCTCCCACTCCCCAGCTATCCCTCACTCTCCCCCCGCCCCAGCCATGGTGGCTCACTCTAACCCCCCCAACCGGGAGTGCAGCGGCCCTCCAGATGTAGCCAGGGCAGATGGGGGCTGGCTGTCCTCCCAGAGCTTCTGACCTGCACCAGCCCCGCCTTAGGCCCTGGGACTGCCACTGCCATTTCTGTGAGAACTGTTTATTCGTGCAAGAGCAATAAAGCCAGGGACCCAGAGTCACCTGCCACTCACCCGTGGTGTGGCTTTGGGTGCATCCCTTACCCCCTCTGAGGCTCCCGATCCCCCCTCCTCGCAGAAACGATGGCAGAACATGAAGTTTGGGGTGGACACCCAGGATGACTATGAAGATGAAAACCTTTATGAGGTGAGTGGTGGGTGGGGACAGGTGAGGGGCAGGTGCACTGGGGTTCTCGTGGGGGTCCTCCCTGGGGTCGTCTGGGGGCAGGGGTCTGGGCGTGAGGGCGCTGAGGCCCCCCCCCACCACATGTTCACCTCAGGGCCTGAACCTGGATGACTGCTCCATGTACGAGGACATCTCCCGAGGCCTCCAGGGCACCTACCAGGACGTGGGCAGCCTCCACATCGGAGACGGGGACGTCCAGCTGGAGAAGCCGTGACCCTGTGGGCTGCCCCCGGGCAGACGTGCTGCCAGCTGTGGTGTCCCCCCACCCCTTCCTGTTCTCTTTTCATAGTCTCCCCCTCCCCGAGTATCCTGACTCAACTTCCCGCTTGAGTGTGTCCGCTCTTCTTCCCTCCAGACTGTCCTCATCCCCTGCACACACCCCAATTCACCCCTCCTCCTGCTGCTTTTCCCAGCCTCCCCCCACACCCAGCGGGTAATGAGCCCTTAATCGCTGCCTCTAGGGGAGCTGATTGTAGAGCCTCCTTCATGTCACCTCCCCCTCCCTGCTCTGTCATGGCCACTTAGTGATAATAAATCCTTCCCAAGTGCAGACCTTGGCAGGAGTCATGGATCTCATGGGGATGCTCCCCTTCTCTGGTGGGACTCAGGAGTCCAGGCCCCCAGCCTCCTTCTCTTCCAGACCCAGGATACTGCTCCCCCCCCCACCCCCCACCAACCCCTGCCCACTCCCTACACCTGGGGCCAGGTAGCCAGAGAGAAATAGGAAGCGTTTGGGGAAGCACCTCACCCTAGGCTATGTCCCTGAGCAGAGAGGGGACACAGAAAGGAGCCAGGTGACCATATTTATTTATGCATATTTTAGTCCCACAAACACAGGCGCCTGTCTGGTGGGGCTGGTACCCAATTCTGACTACAGCCAGGCCACACCTATTATTCTCTGGGAATGGAATTGCAGCAGGGGCATCTGGAGAGTCTGTGGCTCTCATCTGGGGATGCGGGGGGAGCCCTGGGGGACACAGGGACGCAGGGTTTCTGGGAGAGGAGAGAGAGACTGAGACACAGAGAGATAGTAATGGAGACGCAGAGCAAGTGAAGAGAAAGACAATGACAGAGATACGGGGGCAGAGAGAAAGCAGGAGAGAGAGAAAGGAAAGAAGGGTCCATAGAAAAATGGACACGGAGAGGCTGACCCCTGGGACTCTAGAGAAAGCAATGGTTGGGGAAATGATCGAGGTGGCCATGCAGAAAGATACAGAGACCCGCAGAGGGGAAGACAAGAGATGCGACAGAGGGGAGGGACAGCGCCGAGAAGCAGGGGCCCGGGAGCGGGAGGAAAAGACCCCCCACGGAGAAAGGAGCGACGACAGAGGGGCGGACAGAGAGGGACGCGGACAGAAACACGCACAGCGAGGCAAAGAAAGAGAGGAAGACCAAGAGACCCAGACGGAAAGCAGGGGAGGCTGTGGCGAGCCGGCCCCCACCCCGCCGGGGAGGCGATGGCGGACACCCGGCAGAGGCGAGAAACGTGGAGCCCGCGGTCGGCTGACAGACGGACAAAGCCGGGAGGAGCCGGGCGGGGCCGGGGCGGGGCCGGGGCCGCGGGTCCCCCGCCAAGCAGAGAAAGGAGGGGCCGGGCGGGCGGCGAGAAGGGGAAGGAAGCGGAGGTGCCGGGCGGGCGCGGGGCGCGGGCAGGAAGCGGGGAGGGGCGGCGGGGCGGGGGCCTCCGGAAAAACGCCCCAACTTCCTGCCCCGCCAGAGCCAGGAAGCGGGAGCCGGGACGCAGGGCCCGGGATCGCCGAGCCCGACCTCGGGCGCCCCGCCGGTCACCTCCCCGCGCGGACTCCAGGTACACTGTCCCTGGCCCCGCCCGGCCTCCCGCCCCTCGGCTGCCAGGGGAAGTGAGGAGGAGGAGGGAGAGGGCGGGGGCGCTGCCGGCGCTGCAGGGGCTTCAGAGCCAGTGGACGCCCCTCCCCGGGCCTCAGTTTTCCCATCTGTCAAAGGGGGCAAAGAGAGGAGAACTAATACCTGCCGAGTGCCCAGTAAGTGGGGATGAGGGGTGCGAGGCCGGGGTCAAGGCCTCCCAACTGTCCAGCGGAGGACGGATGATCACTCCCATTGTACGGGTGGGGAAACTGAGGCTCAGGGAGCGGAACCGACTCGTCCCAGGGGACACACACCGTGAGACCGAGTGGAGTTGGGATTTGAACTTGCAGGTGCTTTCAAGCACCGTCCTTCAACCCCACATGCTTTAGGGCCACCGAAAAAGAAAAACGTCAATAACCACGCCGTAGGCCGCCGTGAAGCTGGAAGTTGCAGAGCGCGCTTGAAAGCATTTTTCGGAAAGCTCTTTTTCTGGGCCATTAATTATACCCTGAGAGATGGGTTGTAGGGGACAGAACTGGAGATCTTCCCCCATTGTACAGGTGGGAAGACCGAGGCTCGGAAAGAAATACTTTTTCCAGGTTACACGGCTTGTCAGCGGGAAAGGTACGCTGGAACCCAGGAGTTTTGCTTTACAGTCCCAGCACAAAGTGTGCGGCCGGGGCGGTGGGGGTGCCGGGAAAATTAGTGAACGCCTTGGAAATTCAGCTGTTTCCGGAGTTAGGAAAGCCAAGATAGGGTGGGGAACCCAGGCCGGAGACTAAGGGCCAGGGGCGAGTCGGAGATGTCGGATTGAGCCCTGGGCTGGGGGGCTGGAACCTCTCTCTAGTGAGGCTGGGGGGCGGGGGCGGGGGGCGGGGCACAGTAGAGTGGCAAGGGCAGTCGAGATACGGAAACGCCAGACCTCCAAGGCAGGCCAGAGCGGCCCTTTCTGGCCAGCGTGGCGCAGTGGAGAGCTAGAGTGGCCGGCGGGAGAAGTAGAGTCGCTCGGTCAAGAACCAGGCAGCCGCTAAGCTAGAGCGGCTGGCGGGAGGAGTGGAGCTGGAAGCAAAGGTAGACGCTGGGGCAGCTAGAGCGACTCGGAGGCGGGGGTGGGGGACCCCGGGAGCCGGCGCGCAGAGGCTTCGGTTCTGGCGGCTGCGGTGGATTCTCCTACGACCAGGAGCAGGTGAGGGATGCTGCCCCCGGCGGGCGTCAGACCCTGACTCCGCAGGTCCGCCCCGTCATTCCTGGCCGTGCGCACCGCCACGTCCCGTGTAGTAGGATTTGGGGCCCGTGTAGACCCGCCACGTCCCACCTAGGATTTGGGGCTGGTGTAGATGCGCCACGTTTCGTATAAATTACAAGGGCCTATAGACCCACCAGCTTCCTGCTAGCACCCCCCGCCACGGAAACTCGGCTTCTTATAGATGTGGGGTCCCCATCGGTCAGTAGCACCCCCTAGAATCCTGGGCCCTGTAGATCCTGGGTCTTGGGACCACCACATGCTCTTGTAGAATTCTGCTCCCCTTTTAAGTCTCCACAGGTCCCGCAGACTGGCTGCTTTACATATGGAATCATGACCCGGTGTGCTTCTGAGCTCCGAGTAGATCCACCTGTTTGAACTTACCAATAGAGTAGAATCTGGAGCCTTATACATTCCAAGGGCCCCTCGTGGACTTACCTTGACTACTCTGTATTTTAAGTTCTTTAAGGCTCCCGGAGGTTCTTGGGCACCAGGGACATCCACTCAGTGTCTTATAGACCCCGAACCTTGCATAGAATCCAGGCGCCCATGTAGTCCCCGACTGGTGCCTGCTTTGCTCTAGGACCCTCGCCTCTCTAAGAACCTAAACCTTCCCTGACCACCGCCACCCCCAGTCCCATGCACACAGTATCCCCTCTGCTGGGCCGTAGGCCTTTTCAGTTGCCTACAGATCCATCTGACAGTTTCAGCGTGTGATTACCCTTTGTGGTACCCCCTCACCGTCTATCTCCTAAGCAGCCAACCCCCCACCTTCCCTTCCAGAATGCTCTCTTGAGCCCTAAGCCTCTGTGGAGCAGCCTGAGCAGCAACCCGCACTCCTGCCCAAGTCACAGTGCGCACATACCCCTGCCTTTCCCAGACACCAACTTTGGTTCAGATTGTAGTTTCCTAAGGTTGGGGTGGGGGTTCGCCATGCTCTGAAGCAGCACATTCTGATAGTTAAATGCATAAACTCTGGAGCCAGACTGCTTGGGTCTGAATCCTGGCTCTGTCTCTTACGAGCTGTGCTTCAGGTTCCTCTTCCGAAAAATGAAGGTAGTTATAAAACTGACCTCCAGGAGTCATTTAGAGGATTAAATGAGTTAATACCTATAAAGCAGTAATGTTATGCATGCTATATACTTAATAGCATGTATTAAATGTTAGCTATTGTTTCAATTTCCGTGATGAGGAGTGAAGGAGATAACATGTATCAGGTGCATGATTCGGGGCCTGCCTGGCACTGAGCATTTGCTCACATACCGTGTGTCCTCTCCTTTGCACTTTTTGGACTCTCCCTGCCTCTGTTGAACCGCCCCCCCCAAGTGGAGTGAGCATGGACCTTCCATGTGCGCAGTCATGTTTTCCAACCCAGAAGTTGCAGCTGGTGGCCTGGTGAAGGTTTTCCATCTCGAACGGGAATACTAATCGCATGAGGTGCTTGTGGTTGTGAGCGTTAAGTGAGTTCAGATGTGAAGCCCTTGGAGCAATGCCTAGCACACTGTAAGTGCTAGGTAAGTTTAGCTTTTGTAATAAATAATCACTTTTTTTTTTTTGGCGTCGGTTTGCAAGTTTATTTACGTGAAGATTTAACAGTACTCAAATCTTAAATTACCTAAGCTTGAAGTTGGACAGAGACGCTCTATGGAAGAGAATAAAAATGTCGTGTGCTCTGGGGAACCCATGGGATGGCACAGGGACACTCCAGAAAGCATCATTGTTTCATGATCATAATCAAAATCATAGCCACCGTTTACTGAGTGCTAGGGAGGAGGCCTGTGGAGGAGGCAAAAGGGTGAGTCTCAGGCGACCAGGGTTATAAATAGCTTTGGGTTGTGGGAGGGGCCCCCCACCCCATCTCCACAGCTCCTTCCCGCCTGACACGAGCTCTCATGGCATTAGCCAGACTAATTAAACACACAGAAGATGGTGGTGGGAAGACGCAGGGGGAAGCGGAGACTCTAAGGGAGACAAGATGGGAGAGCCAGCAAGAGATGGGAGAGAGAGAGAGAGAGAGAGATGAGGGACAGCACATGACACAGTGACTCGAGAGGACTCAGAGAGGTGGCCGCAGAACCAGATGTGGGAAGACAGAGACACTGACAGAGGGGAAGGACAGCGACAGAAGCAGGGTTAGGGCGAGGTGGCTGAGGGGGAGGGGAGGCAGAGCTGGTGGGAAAGTGAGACAGGTCTGAAGGGAGGGAGAGAGGGAAGAAGACAGGGAGAAGAGAGGCAAAGACCTAAGGCACATTCAAGGGACAGCCAGCCAGAGAGAGCTGGCTGGGGAGGGAGAGCCAGCGGGACGGCCGGATGCAGGGCAAGGAAGACAGACACATCTTGGGGATGAGCTGGCTGAGGACCTAGCCTTGTTTTCTGGGATTGGAAGAGGGGGAAGATACCAGGTCCCCGAGGGAAAGCAACTTCTGGGTTTAGGGAAGGAGGTTCAGAGTTTTGTTTTCTTATGTGGAGAGAGTTGGGGGGTTGGGGGATTTGCCTTTAGATTTCCTGTCACAGGAAGTGGGGCTGGTGGGTTCAGAGGAAACATCCGGCCCCAAGCCTGTCAGTCTAGGAGAGCCCCCTCACCCCAGTTACCTCCTTTCTACCTTTCCTTTAACCTTCCCAACTCGGCTAGCCTCCAGGCCCTGCCTCCCTAGGACCCAGCCTGCAGCGCCCTCGTCCCTCAGACCCAGGAGTCCAGGCCCCCCACCTCTCCTTCCTCAGACCCAATCTCCAGCCCACTCCTCTCTTAGACCCAGGAGCCAGACCCCCAGCCCCTCCTCCCTCAGACAAGATGTCCAGACACGCAGCCCTCCTGCCTCAGACCCAAGGGTCCAGACTCCCAGTCCATCCTCCCTCAGACCCAGAGTCCAGGCCCCCAGCCCCTCCTCCCTCAGACCCGGGGTCCAGGCCCCCAGCCTTCCTGCCTCAGACCCAAGGGTCCAGACTCCCAGTCCCTCCTCCCTCAGACTCAGGAGTCCAGGCCCCCCAACCCTCCTCCCTCAGACCCAGGGGTCCAGACCCCCAGCCCCTCCTCCCTCAGACCCAGGGGTCCAGGCCCCCCAACCCTCCTCCCTCAGACCCAGGGGTCCAGGCCCCCCAACCCTCCTCCCTCAGACCCAGGGGTCCAGGACCCCCAACCCTCCTCCCTCAGACCCAGGGGTCCAGACCCCCAGCCCCTCCTCCCTCAGACCCAGAGTCCAGGCCCCCAGCCCCTCCTCCCTCAGACCCAGGAGTCCAGGCCCCCAGCCTCGCCCTCAGACCAGGGGTCCAGGCCCCCAGCCCTCCTGCCTCAGACCCAAGGGTCCAGACCCCCGGCCCCTCCTCCCTCAGACCCAAGATCCAGCCTGCAGCCCCCTCCTCCCTCAGACCCAGGAGTCCAGGCCCCCAGCCCTCCTGCCTCAGACCCAGGAGTCCAGACTCCCACTCCCTCCTCCCTCAGACCCAGGAGTCTAGGCCCCCGGCCTCTTCTTCCTCAGACCCAAGATCCAGCCTGCAGCCCCCTCCTCCCTCAGACCCAGGAGTCCAGGCCCCCAGCCCTCCTGCCTCAGACCCAGGAGTCCAGACCCCCAGCCCCTCCTCCCTCAGACCCAAGAGTCCAGACTCCCACTCCCTCCTCCCTCAGACCCAGGAGCCCAGGCCCCCAGCCCCCTGCTCCCTCAGACCCAGGAGTCCCCAGCCCATCCTCCATTAGAGACCCCAAATTACAGGCTCTCATGGCCACAGCTCTCTTATGGACCCAGGCTCCTGGGCCTCCACCGCTTCTCCCACCCCTCCAAGGCTCCCCGCCCTGGCTGGCCTCTGAAGGGCTCTTTGTCGCCACACAGAGGCCCCATTGAGCTGCGGAGGAGGCTGGGATTGGGGGGGGGAGGCTGTTTACGCACCTTCGCACCTGGGCCAGGACTCTGAGTAACCGCCCTGCGCCACCGCCTCCTGCCCCCACTAACCGTGGCCCCTCCTCCCACCCAGCCCCGTGGAGCCCATGGAGGCAGAGGACATCCCCCGCGGGCTGGTGAGTGGAGAGCGCCTGGGGGGACGGGGCTGGAGGGCTGCGAGCTGGGATTGCACCCCGAGCTGAAGCCATCCCTCCTCCTCCACAGGCCCCAGGACCACCGCGGCCTGGCCTGGTGCCAGTCAGCATCATCGGGGCTGAGGACGAGGATTTTGAGAACGAGCTGGAGGCGGTGAGGGGAGATGCGGGGAGGAGCGTCTGTCCCAGGCTCCCTGGGCCCCAGCCCTCAAGTTCCATCCTCAGTGTCCCCCTCCCACCTTAGGTCCATCGTGGGGTGCTGCCCCCTGCCTCCTCTCACTGCCCATTCCTCTTTCTGTGTTCTGGGTACCACCCCCCTCATCCCCTCCTACCCCATTCTTGACGCCTCATTATAGCACAGACTCCCACCCTTTTCACTCTAACCCTGGGTTTTACCACCGCCCCCCTTAATTACAGCACAGATCCCTACTCCCTCTCGTGCCTGTCCTCATCACCCGCCATTCTAACGTTAAATCTCAGCCACCGTCCCTGACCCCGGCCACCGCCGTTATGGCGTAGACTTTGCTGCCAGGGAGGGGAAGGGTCAAGCCCAAAGCCCTTCCTCTGCTCCCCACTGTCTCACCGCCCCCCCACCCCGTCCCCACTCGCAGAACACAGAGGAGCAAAACAGCCAGTTCCAGAGCCTGGAGCAGGTGAAGCGGCGGCCTGCCCACCTCATGGCGCTCTTGCAGCACGTCGCCCTGCAGTTTGAACCTGGACCCCTGGTGAGGGCAGGGCTGTGTGGGCAGAGGGAGGGGTGGGGCCGGGACAGGCCACAGTGCTCAGTGAGATAGACCAGTGAAGACAAGCTGGGAGGGTCTGGAAAACAGATCCAGAACCCACAGCACAAGATCTAGAAAGAGAGAGCCAGAGCACTAGCTGGCCGTGTGACCCAGGCAAGATCGCAGGTGCTGCGTGGACATCTCCGTGAGGAGCCAGTGCAAGGCGGGGGGGGTGAGTACTCACAGCAGGGTCACGCAGAGAACAACAAGAGAACCCAGAAGCCAGCAGAGACCATGCCTCCCAGCCTCCTTCCCTGCCTGTGGCTGTGTCACTCCATCCATGACCACGCCCTTTCCCGCTGACCCTGGAAGTGGAATCCTGCTCTGTGGCCTCAGCAGGTGCCACCGGTCCGTCATTCAGGGCTAGGGCGTGGGAGGAAGCCACTAGCCTTCCTAGGTCTAGCTGCCCCAGAAATAAGAAACACCCACAAGCAGCCCAATAAGGCAGAGCGAGCATAATTCATGATCCACAGATACCAGGCAGAAAAATACCCGGGCCCCCGCAGTTGCCGACCTGTGCTGCCCGGAAGTGCGTGCCGGGTAGTAGAGAGCCCAGTGCGTGACTTAAGAAGAAAGAAGCCACTGCACGGGCTAGAGGGGGGCGCTCTGTGGACAAGGCTGTCATCCCAAGAAGACCCAGTGTGGCCCAGCACAGGCTGCAGTTAGGGTGTAGCCCAGAGCACTGGACTGGACTGGAAATGCGTAGCGGGGGCCCTCCGGAAACCAGGCACCGATAGAAATGCCAGGGCGGGATGCCTGGGGGCTGCAAGAAGCAAGGGCGCATCGACTGACCCTGAAGCTTCAGAAATTGGCAGGAAATCGGGAAAGTGCCTTCTCTCCAGAAAAGTAGCTGCCCCTCCCCTGTGAATGGAGGCTGTGGCCGTCTGGGCAAGGAGGTCCCCTTACTTGATTGAGCCTGAGGTGTCTAGAAGTCGAGCTCTTGGAACTCGGCCCAGGGAGGGTGCTGACTGCCGTGTCCTTTTACAGATGTGGAAACAGGCCTAGCCAGGGCCAGGGGCTTGGCTGAGGTGACCCGGATGGCCCCTGGAGTTTGGAATCTGGCCTCCTGCTAACCCCCTCACCTCATCAGCTAGGGAAGCAGCCATGAGATAGTTGTGGTCCCCTGGGCCGCGTCCTGTTGGCCTCTCATGGGGTTTTGTCGTGGAGTTTGGGGGTATGCAGAGATTGGTTGAGAAATAGAGTCCTGCCCCTACCGAGGGGTGAGTCCTTAGCATACAGACCAGGTCCCTTGCCTGACGAGAGACCCCAGGAGCCAAGACAGGCTGCAGTTGGCAGCGCATTGCCAGCATCACCCCGCACGGGGCTGATGCACAGGTGAGCTCAGGGAATGAGTGGTGAATGAACGAGTGAGCCCCGCTGGGCCACCTGGTTATTTACCCAACCCCCACTGTGCACGGGGCCTCTCTGGGGCACAGACGAGTCAGAACCTCGGTCTCTCTCACACACACCCTCAGGTTGCTTGCGGTAGTTCTAGGCTATGGGTTGTAGGGGAACAGGCTGCCTGGATTCTAAATCCCAACTTTGCCACTAACTAGCTGTGTGACCTGGGGCAAGCTTCTTTTTTCTTTTTCTTTCTTTTTAAGATTTTATTTATTTATTCGTAAGAGATAGAGGCAGAGGGGGGAGCCCGATGAGGGACTTGATCCCAGGACCCTGGGATCATGACCTGAGCCGAAGGCAGACACTTAACCATCTGAGCCACCCAGGCGCCCTGGGGCAAGCTTCTTGAGCTCAGTTTTCTCATCTGTAAAATGGGATAATGACAGTGCCCATGATTGACCAGGTTAACGTGAGTCAAGGGTTTAGAACGGCACCGGGTCCAGGCCCAGCTTTCTCAGTGTAGCAGGAGATAGCAGGAAACCAAACCACAGCCATTTCACAGGATAGAAAACTAGCAAATGCTCACGGGGGCCCCAGGGAGCCCAAGAGAGGCCAGGGCCCGGGTGTGGAGGTAGTGGAGACTAGGGAGCACTTAGCAGAGGATTTGAGCCGCAGGTTTTTCAAGGGAGAGTGGGGTTTGGTTGGCGGGGGAGAGGACAGGCGACGCTCTGTGTCCCCAGCTCTGCTGCCTGCACGCGGACATGCTGGCTTCTCTGGGCCCCAAGGAGGCCAAGAAGGCCTTCCTTGACTTCTACCATAGCTTCCTGGACAAGACCGCGGTGAGAGACACCTTCGAGGGGTCCCGGTTGCCCCACTCCTTGGTCCTGGGGGGACTCGGTGCCAGCTGGGCCCTCCCTCCACGGCTCCCTCCCCTCAGCCCATCATTCCTGGTGGGCACCTGGGCTGCCGTCTGGTGACCCCATCACTGCCCGGTCCTCCCCCTCACTCCATTCTCTGTCCCGAGCAGGTCTTGCGGGTGCCGGTCCCTCCCACTGTCGCCTTTGAACTTGGTAAGGAGAGGGGAAGGGGACTGTGGGTGAGGGAGAGGTGTCTGGCCGGGGCTGGGGAGCCCCAGGCTGGGAGGCCACACTCCCCTGCTCCCGTCCTTCCCCCAGCGTGGCCATCGGGAGCCCGAGGGGGGGGTGGAAGCGGCCCCCAGCCCCCTGCCCGTGTCCCCGCAGACCGCACGCGGCCCGACCTCCTCCCTGAGGACGTCCAGCGGCAGTTTGTGCAGGAGGTAGTGCAGAGCCAGCAGGCAGCCGTCAGCCGGCTGCTGGAGGACTTCCGCTCCAAGCGGCTCATGGGCATGACGCCCTGGGAGCACGACCTGACCCAGCTGGAGGCCTGGGTTGGGCGGGACCGTGCCAGCTTCGAGGCCCGGGAGCGGCACCTGGCCGAGCGGCTGCTGACCCATCTGGAGGAGATGCAGTGAGTTGGGGCCTCCCCTTCCCCAGCCTGGGGGCAGTGGTGGAGGGGGGGGTCCCCTGCAGCTTCAGGGTTCATTTCTTACCCTTTGGGCTCTTCCCCTGACTTCTGGGTTCCCCAGCCCTGCCGTTTGTGATTCATCTGGTTTTGTGTTGTCTCCTTCCCAACTTTGGGGCACCCGCCCAGTTTCCAGGGCTTTCCGTGGTCTTGTGTTCGGGCCTGGCGAATTGGGTCCTGTCCTTGCGGCTCTGAGCTCACCAGTGACATTCCCCCCGCTGCCGCCTTCCATCCCTGTAGCCTTGGCCCTCTCTCCCTCTCCGCCTCCCCTCTCTGTCCTGTGCCCGCTTCTAAGGGGACAGCACTCCGGACCTCTGTGCTGGGTAGACAGGGAGCCAGGCTTAGCAAGTCTGTCGAAAACTCCTTTCTTCTTTTTGCAGACCCACCATCTCTACCGATGAGGAAAAGAGGTGATGACGGAAGCAGAGGGGGTGGCGGGAGAGGCATTTAGTCCCCTGGGCCCCAGGGAGGAGGACCGGGGATCAGGGGCCTGGCTCTGTCCTCTGGACCCCCTCCCCCTTCCTCAGACACTCAGCCGGAAGCAGTTGTGGGGTTGGGGTCGGAAGCGAATGCGGAGGGGACGGCTTGGGGACAGCAGTGTCCCCGTGGCCATGGGCGTGTGTGTGCATCTGGGCACACGTTGGGGCCCTCACCGTCCCCTCCCCACAGTGCCGCTGTGGTCAGCGCCATCAGCCTGTACATGCGCCACCTTGGGGTGCGGACCAAGAGTGGAGACAAGAAGTCGGGGAGGAATTTCTTCCGAAAAAAGGTGCTTTTCCCTTGAGCGCCCAAACCTGGCCCCTCCCTCCCCCAGAGGCCCCTGGGGAGCCCCGTGATTCGGGGCTCATGGGGTCTGATTCTGCTTTCTTGGGGTCTCAGAGATGCATAGCCCCTTCTCCACTCTCCTTACCTCCCTCAGATGATGGGGAATCGGCGGTCAGATGAGCCAACCAAGACCAAGAAAGGCCTGAGCATCTTCCTGGACGCCGCCCGCTGGAACCGGGGAGAGCCTCAGGGTGAGGTGCCCGGCCGCTGCCCGCCCCGGCTTCCCCACACCGCCCCCGCCTCATGGTCCCATCTCTCGTTTCAGCCGCCGATTTCCGACACCTCAAAGTCGAGGCTGATGGTAAATGGTCCTAAAGCTGGCTGGGGGCTTGGGGGAGGGGCGGGGGGTGCTCCTGGGCTGTGGGGAGGATGGGGCTGGAGTACAGACTGCTGTGGATTAGAGGAGCTGGGCTCTCATTTCCCCCTGCTCCCCGGATGTCTCCCCAGCTGAGAAGCCAGGCCTTACGGAAAGGAGGGGAGGCCTGGGGGTGCCCTCCCGGGACCGGAATGTTGGGGCTCCTGGGCAGGATGTCCCTGGAGTTTCTCTGCACCCTCTGTCCGGAGACAGCCCCGACAAGGAACCAGGTGAGTTTCTTGGCTCCCCACCCCAGGCCGAGAGAGCACCACTCAGTTCTCTGCTTGCCCCTCCCTGATCCTGGTCACCAGTATTATTAAGAACCCCCCCCGGGGGGGGGGGGCGCCTGGGTGACTCAGTTGGTTAAGCGGCTGCCTTCGGCTCAGGTCATGATCCCAGGGTCCTGGGATCGAGCCCCGCATCGGGCTCCCTGCTCACCAGGAGCCTGCTTCTCCCTCTCCCTGTCGCTCTCCCTTGCTTGTACTCTCTCTCTGTGAAATAAGTAAATAAAATCTTAAAAAAGAAAAAGAAGAAAAGAAACCACCCCCCCTCCCCTCAGTTCACCCGTTCCACAGCTTTCCCCTCAGGCTCCGGCCTCTTGAATCTGAGGCAACTGCTTGGCCGGGCGTGGGTTCAAGTCCCAGCTCGGCAGCTTAGTCGGGTTATATCCTGGAGGCCCTGTCTGAGCCTCAAGTCTTCCTAAAAGGGGTCTACCTCTTCCTGCAAGTCCCGGCTTAGGGTCGGGAGAAGGAATGGATGTGGAGGCGTCACGCAGAGCCCCAGTGTGCCCTGGTTCAGGGGCTTCTCCCCCGACCGGCCCCAGCTGCTGTGGCCATGTCCCCCACCGAGGTGCAGGGCAGCCGCTGGTGTCGGCCGGCCCCTGGGTGGCTTGAGCCCCCACCGCCCATTCCGCGGGAGGAAGTAGAGGCCCCCAGAGTGTGGGTCTTGCCGCAAGGGCCCGGCAGCCTGCCTTGCTCTCCCCTGCCGCCCACAGGTGTTGATGCCCCACCAGAGCTGGGGGATGCGCCCCCGCAGGGCCCGGCCGGCCTGGAGCCCCTGGCGCCGCCGGAGAGCACTGAGGAGGGCGCTGACACAGAGAGGTGCCCGGGGCCAGGGGTGGGCGGGGCTGGGGCGCTGGGTGCAGGAAGGGGCTTCTCAGGCTGGGGAGGCGCGTGCGGGCTCGCGCTGCCGGTTGCTCCTGCTGTCCCCGAGCCGTCTCCACTCTCCCCGGCTCCCGCCTCTGCCCGTCTTCGGCCTCTCCTGCCCGTGCTCCACTTTTTCTTCTCTCGTCTCCCCTTCGCTCTTCCTCCTCCCTCTCGCACTCTCTGCCTCTGGGCTCCCCCGGCCCCTCCCTCACCCCTTCAGATTTTCATCCCCTCCCCTCCTCTTCTGAGCCACCGCCCTGCGCCTTGCTCCTGCCCCCCAGTGCCCTCCCCTCCGTCCCCCGCCCTCTGTGCTCCAAGCCTGGGGGCCCTGTCCTCCTCACAGTTGGGGGGCAGGCTCTGCCCCCTGCCTGTCCTTGTGCGCTGCTTTGGGGACCCTTTGGTGGGTGGGGGAGGTGAGTTGGGTTCCATTTGGGCCCCCCTCTGACCCTGTGCCCCTCTCTCCCCAGAAGGTGGAAGAGGTGGGTGCCCGGGCCCTGGGTGGGGGGAGGGCTAGCCCCTCCCCCGTTTCTCCCAGCCCCTCCCCTCTCCCCATGGGCCGCCCCCTCCCCTTCACCCTGCAAGGGGTGGGTGGGGACATCACCCTCCCAGCAGAAGAGCTAAGTATTGAAATCTCCTTCCCTCCCTCACTCCCTGCTCTGCCCCCATCATCGCCTCGCCTCAGGGAAGGGAGGGGTCGGTCCTGTGCTCTGTCTTGGGTTACCCTCCCCACCTCCACCAAGTTTCCCTGTCCCTCCTGGCCACCCCCACCGCCCCGGCACCCCAAAGTCCCAAGTCCCACTGCTCCTTCTGACGCTCTCCTCTCTTCTGTTGCATGTTTGGTATCTGTCCTGGTCTCCCCTACCCGGGTCCCCGTCTGTCCCTGTCTTGGTCTCTCCCTGTCTCTCTCCCTCTCCTGGTCTCTCCCCGTCTGTCCCTGCCTTGGTCT